GCAGTTTCACTTTCCCATGAGCACGAGTTGTCAAGAATATTTTGGAACTAGTGGTGCTACAGAATGGCACAGACCTTCCCGTTATAGATTTCTATTTCCTTTGGTCTCGACTAGCCACTCGGACTTGCCACATACTCTTGCTAACTTCCATCTATCGCCGCTCAGAGTACTTTTTCTTAATTTTTCGGTTTTCTAATTGTGGAACCTACGAGTATTAGAAGATTATCAAAGAACAGTAAAAACTAGGTCTAAATAGCAATTTTCTTTGAAAACTATGGTGCCTTTTTTAAAAAAAACTGGCGTTTAAGCGCTATTGTAAATGCGAAATTTGAACCTCTTTTTGCAGAAAACATTTGAGTTTACGAAACACTTCATTTGAAGACATTTCAAGACTCAAATGCAATAACGTTTACAAATCACTGGAAGTGTTCATACTAAAGATATGAGAGAACTTTCAAAAGTATATTAGTGTATATTTTGAAAAAAAAATACACCGAAATTAACTTCACATCATATTAAAAAGTGAAATTAGCACTATCCATACGAAAAGTTTGAAAAAAATTGGAGCCGTTTTTGAGAAAATGGCGTTTAACCGTTTCTGAAAATGCGGAAATTTGAGCTAGTTTCCATAGAAAACTTTCGATTTTCGACATACTTTATTTGACATTATTTAAAGCACTTGTACTCATAAATATAATAATGTGAACAAATCAACGTTAGTGTAAATATCGACGTGGGAGACAATTTTTTAATATAGCAATAATATAATAAATAAATATACCAAATATATATAAAAATTGAGCAATATAGCGTCTGTGTCATCTCCTAGAGTACATTTAGCACTATACCTACCAAAAGGTTAAAGAAAAAATATAGAGCCGTTTTCGAGAATTTCTTGTTTGTTATTTTTTAAATTGCATGCAATATTGCATATTGCAATTGCATTTTAAAAAAAAGGTCCATGACGTTAATAAAATATCTAATTATCGGCAACGAGCTTCAATTGAAAGTAAAATCTCTTTCTTTAGTTTTGTAGTTGGAAAATAAATCATACCTTTGAAATTTTCGAAAATTCAGAGTTGACGGTAAAAAGCACACCTATGCCACTTTTATAAGTGTATGTTACTCCATTCGTGAAAGAAATTTAAAGAAAATTTTGAGTCGTTTTTGAGAAAATTTTGCAATTTTCCGGACGGCTTCATTTAAAGTCCCCCAAATTTTAAATAATGTTTTTCAAGATCTCAAAGTTTCCACTCGAGCCAGATGGACAGGGGTTTCTTCAATTTGGTCTACGCATGGTTTAAACGCTAGTAGTGTTCAAACGAACGTTTTGGAAAGAACCACGTTTCCGGTATCAGGGAACCCCTAACGTGTATTTCCGTTGAAATCTCGAAATCTATTTTCCACAGCATTACATAATTTTCCGTATATACGTACGTATACGGGAAAGTAAAGTGAGCTCTTGGATACTTTTGCACCTTACTTTTAAGGCCATTTGATTCTCCAGAAATCACTGCTGCTCCATCATATTGCAACACCTCCGCTCATCTCCCGGCGAAGGGAAATGCGCGGTTAGCGGCCCGGTTATAGCTCAGTCGGTCCTATTCCCTTTACTCCTTTAAATACTTAGCCAATTGTAAAAATTTCCTTTGCTCATTTAAAATTAGATGATGGAAGGAATTATTAATGAAATTAATGGATATTCAAAATAAACAATTTGATCACTGGTAACAAGACAAAGTGTACCCTGGACAAACTGTACCAGGGAAGTTACATTAATAAAATAAAAGAAAGGAAATATTGAATAAAAAGAAAAGAAACAGAGATTAAAATTAAAGGAAGGCTTACAACTAGAGAAGAGTTGCTCCAATAAGCTCCGGCGGAGTATAGGAATATTCCATTCTCTCTGTCTCTGTCGGAACATAGTGTCCTTCTCTGCCGTCTCGAAAGTAGGCCACGTCTCTGAAGGGGCTTCCCGGCTACTGAATTATTGCTTTGAGTTTCCCCGATCACGATGACATGCGTTTCAAAAGTATTCCAGATGGAGCTGCAGCTGGCCACCTTACAATTTACCCTTTCTTCGGCCGTTGGGTGGGGTGTCAAAACATTCGAAATGGGTCAGGGGATCGTGGCTGTTGCAAGAAGAGGAGCTGCGCGCGTGACGCCGTATGTTTTTCTTCAGTAAAAAATTTCTTATGTCTACTTTACTCAATTTAATTTATCGTAATAATTCTGTACCGCTACAATATATCAGCAACCAATTTGTCACCGATGTCATATAATTTTAGTATTTCTTCCACACGATTAAGTAAGTCATTGGCAGATCTATCCGCGCTTACGTCCACAAACGGTATAAATGTCTCCCGAATTTCTACATTTTTTCTTTAACATATCTAAGTGAAGTAGCTAATTGTGATTTGTTACTTACGTCGGGTGAAACATCCGACGTAATAATATCCGAAATAATTGCAATGTGCTGGGCCGTGGAAATATCATCTTTAAAGATTTGCTCAAGACATTACTAATAGCAGAAATCAAATCATTTTGAATTCTGTTGGAGATGCCTTTCAATGTTTTAGCAAATTCTAGGACTACCACTAATAACACCAGACTTACTATGACTGCAAGCTCATTTCAGGGCGACTCTGGGCGTTGCTGTAGGCCTACATACAACCAAATGGAACATCCGAGAAGTCAGAGCGCATGCGCGAACTCCCCAATGTATTTACACTGAGGACGTCACAATGCTGAGGCCGGGTGGCGGCGCCTACGGCCTCCGTCTCTTTCACCCGCTTTCTGTCTCTGTCTGCATCAGCGTTACTGATGCAGATACGCATACTGATACGTATACTCGATGCAGGGCCGCGCCCTCGTCACGCGCTCCGCACGCCAGTGTACTCTTCCTTAACAGAAATTTCAACTCATAGCTGAGTTCTCGTTATTGGTGAGAGTCGCGATTTCACTATATAATAATTACATTTATCCAGGAAAAGCGCAGCTTACCTATCTTACCCGGAAACCATGCCCCTGTTTTTTAGTCTGTCTCATTTACTTATTGTTTATTGTAATTTTGATATTTCTTATATTAATATACAAAAAAATAATACTTCTTCAGGGAAAAAAGTGATATTGAAAGTGAAACACAATAAGTATATCTTATCCTTATATTGGGCGGGAAATATTGAAACCGAGATAGGAAGAACCCTTAATCGTAAAGCTACCGTAGTCACAATTTACCATACAGTGCAGAATTAACATGTAAATTGATCTCTCTTCTGTAACAGTTCGAAAACTGTACCTGTTATGTCCTTATAAGAAAAGTGTCTTGACTTTTTGTGTAATGTCCTGAATTTTAACCCAAATGATTTGATTTTTTCAACCAGGTCTCTGGCAACCCCAGCCAAAAAGCGTACAAAATGGGAGATGTACTAAATTCTAACTATTCGCACCATCTCTTCCTGCCGTATCCGAAATTGAATGTAATAATCTGAAAGCATGTTTTATTGTAATGTACCATATTGTTGAGAATTGCAAGGAACAGACTATATTATGAGTAAAGAAATTATTTCTGTTACAAATTTCCTCGCGTTTTTAATAATCGTAAAATCAACGTTTCGCGGGTCCGTGATGCGATAAAAATGTTTTCCAGCATTGCTTGTAATCTTCGGAAGCATAGTCGGCAAACGGAAAACTTTCGCCCATTGCGTTGTCCATGTAAAACGATTTTCTTTAGCGGATCTTCAAGAGAAGAAATTTGTCAACGCTGCAAAACGTACGGATTCTAAAAGTCACCGTGTGTCTAACATTTCTGTGATCCGGCAGTTCTAGCGGGATCATACAGTAAACTACGCGTTTACAATTTTTGAAAAAATGAGAACGTGAAAATATACGAATAACGTGGAGTTAAAACTCTTTATTAAATTATATTTTCCAAGTATGTTTTTTCTATTATAATGTAAGATAATTTTATAATGTAATTGTAACTAATGCATGTTAATTGTTTAATGGGAAGTGTACACTGAGAAAAAAGCGAACATGTTCACCACTGAATGTTTTCTGTTATATTCGATGCTAGTAGAATAATTTCACTTTTCAGTTTTTATAAAAGCGAATTTGTTATTTTAATCATAATGTCTGTACCGTTATCAAAAAAGAATCATTGTTTTTTGGATAAGATAACTTTCATTACAAATATATAATAAACACCCAAATAAATGCACAGAACTATTGCAGCCAGTTTCTAAGTTTATTTGATTTAAAATGCTAAAAAACGTTTTTAATTTTTAACTACAGATCAACAATCGAAAAAAATGAAAAAAAATTCACGTTTTCAGAACAATTTTTGGTATTTTTTTGAAGTATGTTCCTGGGTTCTAAGACAGTAAAAATATTTCTTTTAACTTTGCCTTTGAATTAGAGCTGAGAAAATATCAAAAAATGTTTTTCTGATAGTATAATTTGTTTCATTTTTTTTCAATCAGATAAAAATGATAAGTCGACAAAAAATAAAATAAAAAAACACTTTTTCTGGCTGTAGATGGGTGTGGGTGGTAGCACGGGGGCTAAGAAATCTTTTAAAAATGTTATGTTAATGTTAGAATTATAGTGTAACTACTCATACGGCATTTGGATTGCGAAAACTTTTTGCCATCCTATGTGGAGGAGCTATTGCTCCCCCCAATAAAAGATCCGAAATCCCGCCTCTGTACACAATATTTAGAAGTCAAAACCTTCGGTTTGGCGATTTTGGTATTTAGCCTCTTGGGCTTTGCAGGGCCTCAATATTATTCAACATGTTTGCTGTGCCATCTTTACGAATGGATGTCCAAGCAAGTACGCACGCACTGCTCAGACTACTGGTGAAACCGAGGATAATGCGCGGGAGCCTCTCACCCCGCTAACCTGTGCAGTTATCAACTGATATTTTGACGTTTTGTGTTTTAACGCATTTTTTTATGTTTAATGAATTAAAATAATAAGTAAACTAATGTATCTTTCAGGCTACTAAGTGATAACGATCTTGGGCGTTTAAAATCTGATGGATTATTTGGACGACTTCCAAATCTTCAAAAATTGGATCTGAGGCGCAGCAAAATCACTGGTATAGAGGAAAATACTTTTGAAGGTTGTTCACGAGTTTCTGAATTGTAAGTACACAATGCTTCGATGTTTGTTTGCGTGATATTTACCGATTCTCTTGCTGATATGTGATAATTTATATAGCATCTTCATTGCACACAACTTTAATTTCAATTTCTCGTTTTTCAGGTTATTATCTGAAAACAAGATACATGAGGTACATAATAAAATGTTTGCTGGACTTGGAAATCTCAAAACACTGTGAGTTATATTGCAATGTATTACCCCTTATACTTTACTCATATTGATGCATACAATCTTGGATATATCTATAGTGTATCAACTTATCTATTTCAATATGATATGGAGTGATATAATGTGGGTCAAGTATGTTGTGTCTTCTGGATATTGTAATGCTAAACCATCGGTATTACGACAGCATTAACTTTCTCTAATTATTAGCAACCGTAATGTGATAATATATAATATTGCCAGTTCTGCCTACTAACCTCATCTTGAAAAAAAAAACAGACCTAATGAAACAGAGCGGCTGCTGAGCATATCTACAATTATTTCGATAGTCAAGAACAGTCATTTCTTACTTCTACAAAAGAAATATATTTAAAAATCTCAACTATTACCATATTTGCAGCACAATATACACGAAAGCAAGGTGAATTTAACATGAGCTTGCCTTTATCATCACGAAGTAATCTTCCAATTCTTACTTTTTTGCCTTTTCTTCGTAAGTAAATTCTAAAAGTAAGCGTTCGTACTTCTTGTCTGGCCCTGGTAACACGAAGGTGGATAAATCATATACTGTGGCGTCTTTGCCAGGGCAATGAATCACTGACGTGAACGGTTTGTAATTTATTGAGTATTTATTTGAAAAAAAAAGCTCCAACACCTGAATACTATGTACAATAATTACAATAAACAATATTGACCCGTTACTAGGAGGAATGTTTCCTGGTTACCACCACCGCTGGCCTGATAATTAGATATCATATTCGGTGTAATGCACCAGTAGCCTACGTGAGCATACAAACGAGTATGCCGCACCTCCCGTCTCGACGTAGCACGCCGGCTTCAGTTCCCTGCCTCAGTAGCCTACGCATTATAATGCAGCGCCGCGCACAACCCACTGGACTTCCTACCGACGCGCCCAAGAATAAGAAGAAGGAGTTTAGGTCCGGGGTCCATTTATATTACCTTCTGGGTCGGCTGACGGAACTGCGTCATCTCGCTGTTTCCGCCGACGTGTTTCCGCAGCTGGCCTGCCTACGGGGTTCCCAAGTTTGCCGCAAATGGTCTACGGGGTCCACAAGTGGCCACCCACGACACGGCACCCCTTCCCTTCCGCTCCCTAGGTTTGCCATTGTTCAGCCCGGCGTCTCTTCCCGCCAGCGCTGTCCATGAGCATGAAATGCGCGTGGCTGGTATTTTGTCACGTTTGTACAAAGCGACTGATATGACGCCACAATACCTATACACAAGCTGTACGGGAGGGAAACGTCGAAATATAGAAAATAAGCTCTTAAGACACTTCTAAACATATTTTGTCTTATAAACTACTTTGATATTCCGAATGGCAAAGCCGCAATAACTCTTTTTTTTTCTCTTTTTTTTTTTTTTGAAAAAATACTTTCTATGCACAAATTTGCATTTCAAAAACATAAATACTCCAGAAACATGTAAATTCTTTAATATTGACAAAAAATAAATATATTTGTAAATAATATACAATTTACATGTTTCTGCAGTGTTTATATGCTTGTCCAATGCAAATGTTTTTCTAGAAAGCATTTTTTCACACCAACTTTTGAGTGTTTATTGCATCTCATCCATTCGGAATATTCAAATAGTATATTGGACAAAATATGCTTAGTCGTAAAATTGTCATAGAGTTTATTTTCGAAATTTCGACGTTTCCTCCCTGCTCATCCTTTACCTGGCGCACTAATCATACTGAAGTGGAATACAAGTTGAAAACAGCAACATATTGACGCACACAGTGAACATATGCGTGCAGAGAATGTGATAGAATACGCATTAATCTCATTCATTGCGTGCTTTCTGCGTTGACATGACGTGGCCTCTATTTTTCTTCTTATTCGGCTGATGCTTCTTTTTGGCTTGTAATTTGTTTACATTATTATAATTATGAGTACATGTGCTTTAAATAATGTCATATAAAGTTTCTCGAAAATTCATCCGTTTTCTGTGAAACCTAGTTCAAAATTCCGCTTTTTCAGAAAAGCTCAAATCCCATTTCGCAAAAACGGCCCCAATTTTTTCTTTAATCTTTTCAAACGGATAGTGCTAATTGCACTCCTTAATATGGCGTTAAGTTCATTTTGAGGTATTGTTTTGTTTTTTCAACAGTTACACAAATGTACTTTCTTTTTAAGATCTCACACGCTGTTAATATACTCATTTCCAGCCATTTGTAAACACTATTGTATTTGTGAGTTAATGTTCTTCAAAACTCAAAAACCTTTTGTGAAAAAGACCTTCAAATTTCGAATTTGAAGTATCGTCTAAACGCCATTTTCTTAGAAACGGCTTCAAATTTTTCAATGAAAATTGTCATTTAAAACTGTTCTTTAATATTGTTAAAATATTTAATATAAATAAAATAATGTTTCGGTTCTTCTATTAGGAAACCAAAATATTGAGATAATTTCAAAAATATGTACTTAAGGCGGCGATAGATGGCAGCTGGCAAGATAATGTGGCAAGTCCGAATAGGTAGCTGATACCAAAGGAAATAGAAAACTAACACGTGAAATTCTGTACCATTCGCGTCTGTGTCGCGGAGGGCCTCGCGTTCTGCTGACATCAGATCAGAGGAGCCCGCAAAGTGTGATAATGTCTAGTGTACGCAAATATGCGCCCCTTCGGAAAGAAAAAGGGTAACCGGCTGTCGGATGGAAAAAGCCCGAAGAAGAAGAAAATATATGTCATTTAGAAGTATGGACGTATACAAATCTATTATCAGCCAACTGCGATGGCTTCCTCTGCCAGCCATCGCACTACTCATATAGCTTCCATGAAAAGCAACACGAGGCGAAAAAAAGAGCGCTTTCCCCTCCCAAACACCTGTGCTAGTCCCACCACAATCTCTTCCTCGCAGGCCACGTGCACGCAAGAGACCGATTGATTGTTAGTGATTCCGGGTGCGTCATCTACTGTGGTCATCAGTCCCGTAAGTGAAGTGCGTGTTTTTGTCCAGGAGTTAGGCTAGTAGGGTTTTCTCCAAAACGTATCTCCTACCAGCAGGGCACCGCCGTAACCAGGACAAGCTCTTGTCCAGCATGTACAGTAGTGTAGCGCATGTTAGTGTAAGGGGTGATAATTGGACAAGAAATAGGTGAGAAAGATGGCGCATCGTTCGTGGCTCTTTTGTTAGGGTACTACTCCGGCGAATGCCTGGTGTTGATCCGAGAAACTACGTAAAACTACCTATCAGAGCAGCCGGCCGCTAGAAATCTCCAGACAGCGATTGAATTCGACCTAGCTGAAAATTCTGCCACCGCCGGGACTCGAACCTACGACTTCCCGGTCAGAGGGACTGCAGTGGCATCAATTGATGCCTTGAGCTATCTCTCTCGGTGCGAGAGGCCGAGTTGAAAGAGCCTGCTTTCAACCATTGGTAGGATTTTTTGTCAAAATGGATATTCCCCAATCGATCTGCCTCGATTCGAGCGCTGTGATTTTGATAAACATTCTTTAAAATGTGGGGGTTGTAAAGAAAAGGCTGAACTGACAGTTTCCAAAACATTGATGAGAAAGGTAAACAATTGAATAGGAACATTATTTCCAACGAGAACAAACATCGCATTTATTTTCTGAAGATTCTCCATTGTCTGGACCGCAGAACCAAAAGCTGATATTATATTTTTCTACATATTACAAATAATAATAAACAATATTCAAGGTAACATAATTGACAAATCAATTAAAACTCTCTGCTATAAACACTAAAAACTCTGAGTTGTTCAATCCAGCATCGGCACACTGGTACTTGAGTGATGAAAACATCTACAAAGAACATAGTGAGACTTCCAGTAATTCCTCAGTACCACTTCGCAGCACGCCGCGATTTCCAGTTCACCTAACTGGCGGGCAGGGAGTTTAGGGGTGCATTTCCACCGTGGTTGAGTTTCAGTTCATCGCCATGCCAAGCCGCAATGACAGCCGTTCCAAATATACCTCGCCACTGTCCGCACGCAAAAGTCCCCTGCGGCAAGCAAGGTCTCGCCCCCCTTCCCCACTGCTAAGGGAAAAAGTGAGAGAGGGGTGGCGGCGGGGGTGCAACTCCGTGAAGTACCAGCCAGGGTGAGTCGGCTCCCAGGTAAATTCATATTATCGCCCCCCTAATCGATTTTAACACCATAGAGCGCACACACTGGCCGGGAATTACTAGTTCACACAATGAGCGCTCAGCTTAGCGAGAAATTGTCTACAATCTGCTCCGGCACAAGTGTGTAAACATTTATTCCCGCCGGACCCAACATTGGGCGTGAGGGAGGCACTATCTATTCACTGCGCTCAGTCAACTATACCCAGTGAATACAGAGCGAATGAATTGACACTAGCGAACAAAATATTGATGTCTACAGGCATTGTTAAGAGCAGACTTGAGTGGGAACTTGTCAGGACAGTCTAGCACTATTCGCAAATACACCTATCTAACCTATCAATTTATCTAACTACTATACAATTAAAAATAATATGCAGGAAGTTGCCTTGATTACAATTTTTTTCATGTAGCCTATACTTTGGTGTAAGAAAGGAAAGAAACAAGAACAATAATCACCTGGAATGAGTAGCAGTGCTCATCCTATTAAAGACGAAAAGCGACTACAATAAAACGTTCTAATTGGTGAGTTCATGACCGAAAGGGGTTAACATAGCTTGGGGGAACAAACCCTTGTTCTGTTCAACAGGAGTGGCTTGCCATCTTTTACAAGTCATGCAAACTTTAATTTCTGTTTTGACCGCACGTCGTAAGATAGGAACCCAGAATAGGCTGGCGCACATATCCCGACATCAGGAAAGGCTGACATGCAAAAAAGCATGGTGTGTCATTTCCAAAAAAAGTAGTACATTGGTGCTTGAGTGGAATTATAACAGGATGCTTATTCATATTTTCAACGTGAGAATACATTAAATGGACACCCACTTGCAAGAGCCCATCAGAGTTTAGAAAGGGATTCAATGGAAATAGAGATGATTTAGCAGGTAATACCTTCTTC